TTCCATACCGCATCTCAGTTCACACCTTTCAGGATTCTTTATGGAAGAGATCCACCACCGTTGGTGAATTATCAGAAGGGAACGACCCCTGTATATCTAGTGGATCAATACTTGGAGGAGAGGGATAGGGTGTTGGGTGAGTTGAAGGAACACCTATTGAGGGCCCAACAGATCATGAAGACCAAGGTGGATGCTCACCGCAAGGATGTGACCTTTGAGGTGGGAGAGATGGTATACTTGAAGCTACGGCCTTATAGACAGAAGACTTTAGCTAGCAGAAGGAGCGAAAAGCTCTCTCCACGATACTACGGGCCTTTCGAGATCGAAAGGAAAGTGGGGATGGTGGCCTACCGTCTCAAGTTACCTCCTCATTCCTCCATCCACCCGGTTTTTCACGCATCGCTATTGAAGAAGAGCATAGGGGATCTTACTGTGGCCATTCCTACTATACCCCAGGGCCTCACAGAAGATATGCAATTCTTACTAGATGCACTATATGTGAAGGAAGTGAGGAAGAATGATCAAGGCAAAAGGGAGATTCTCATCGAGTGGAAGGACTTACCGACACATGAGGCTACTTGGGAGATATACGAAACCATGCAGGCGCAGTTTTCAGACTTCAACCTTGAGGACAAGGTTGATCTTCTAGAGGGCGGTATTGATGGACCGGGAGAACCGGCCTCGCCTGGACCCGTGCGGGTCTATAGGCGGAAGAAAAGGGGAGGGGGCGGGCTGGCTGGACCAAAGGGACCCACCACTTAAGTGGGGGTATTTTGGGGATGGGAGGGATTTTTCAAAGAGTATGAAGGGAGCCATTATGGTTTAGTTTTGGGGGAGGATGAAAAGTGTATTCTCTTTCTAGTTTTTCTTCCTTTAGTCTTTTTCTTGTGCTTTTCTAGGGTTTTCTTGTGGGAGATCTTGTCATTCTCGAAGTGGACAAACTTATCTTGTTTTCTCTTGGCTTTCTAATGCAAAGGTTCTTACTTTTCATCTCAACCCTCTTGTGAGAGTTTAAAGCATTATTATTTTTTTATTTCAGTAGAGAAATCTGTACTATGTTTTTCTTATGGACTTATTATTCTTCTGAGATTAGTTCAAGAAATCATGAAAACGGATAGGGATGATTGAGGGTTTTCTTTCTTATGAAGACCCTCCTTTTAATTGGGGATTTTTGCTAATGAAAAAAATATTTTAGTTGTATTTTTCTCCTGCTATTTGTCTCCACTAAAAAATTTTTTTTTGCTCCATACTTTTCTCTCTTTCCACTCGACTACTCAGCATATACCATAATAACCCTCGTATTGGCTATTGCTGCTACAGATTTCTAATTGAACTTTGGGGAAATAAGCCTAAGTTACTGCCAGAATTATCTGAAATGGGGAGCTATGACGGCAACGCTATTTCTGTGAGTAGAGATTCTGCTGGTATAGCTGAGAAGTCTGAGCTAGTGCCCAAATCTAATGATACAGAAGATGAACGTGCTGAACAGATTTGTAGTGATGAACCTGCTCAATCAAAGGAAGAAGAACTGAGCAGGAAACATAAAAGGGAACCATGCGAGGAGGCTGAAGAGGTGTTGCCCAGGGCCTATATAAATTACCTGATAGATGGCAGTGAAGGGAGCCGATTAAATTTATCTGCAACTAGTTCAGAGAGGAAGAAAAGGTCAGGCGATCTGTTGGATGATTTGATGCAGAAAAGGCAGAAGCATCATATAATCTCAGATGATATGTATGCCAATCTTAACATGAGGAAATTGATAGCCGATAGGATTGTCATTCAGAAACAGGATAGATCAGGAAGCTCTGGCAAAAGAAGCAGAGATTCCTTTGATTCTGAGGCAGGACTAGAAGGTCAATCAGTTAGTGGCGATGATTCAGCTTCAAAGAGAAGGAAGGTTGGGCATGCCGGTGTCAATATGCAGTTGAAGATGCTTGGCCCTCTAAAACTTCCTGATTATGTTGAAGGCTTCAAATATGATCATAAGCTCTACCCAGAAATCATCAAGTTGAATAAGCAGCTTATGGAGATAAACAAGAAGTTGAGGGCTAGAGAAACCATTGACAACTGCCCGGAGAATGAGCAATCTCCATCGCCACCACCAATTTACAATGAAATAGGTGTCAGGGTGAACACAAGAGTGAATAGGCTATGGAAGAAACTGGGTCATCGTAGGCAACAAATAATATGCGAGCTGAATCAGAAAAATCCTCTTTTTCTACCTCCATTAGAGGAGAGACCAGCAAAATTCTCTAGGAAGCTCTACATACCAGTAAAACAGTATCCCAATTACAATTTCATCGGCCTTATCATTGGGCCTCGTGGGCACACGCAGAAGAAAATGGAGAGAGAATCTGGTGCTAGGATTCTCTTACGAGGCAAAGGATCTACAAGACTAAAGAAAGTAAAGCAATATAAGGATCGAAAAACTGAACCATTTGAAGATGAGGATTTGCATGTCTACATAGAAGCAGCAGATGAAAAGTCTTTGGAAAGTGCTTCCGCAATGGTTGAAAAACTACTTGTTCCTGTGAATGAAGAAATGAATGAACATAAGCATGCCCAGCTAAGGGAGCTTGCCGAGTTGAATTCGGAAATTTCAAGTGAAGCCCTGAATTCTACAACCCAAAACAATGTTGCTTATTATACCCGGGATGATGAAAAACCTGTGACCTCCTTGAATCCCACAAACTTAGTCCCCGCCCCAGAAATTGAGAACAATTCTCATCAACCAGCTCCTGTTTCCCTTAGAAACTGCATGACTAACTCAGAATCTGGGGCTTTAACATTACAAGATACCAAGCTTGATTCAGCAGCTGGTGCTTTAATATTATCACATAAGACCAAGCCAGGGGAAGTTGTAGATAAAGCTAAACTCTTTGTGGGATTTCTTCCGTTATCTGTTAATACCGAGAAGTTAATCGAGCTTTTTTTACCGTTTGGACGCCTATGTGAAGCTGTTGTTATCATGGACCGAAGGACCGGTCTGAGCAAGGGTTATGGGTTTGTCAAGTACATTGATCCTTTATCTGCTGCTGAAGCTTTGGCTCAAATGAATGGCTTCAGGGTTGATGGAAAGATAATTACTGTTCGAATAGCCGGTCGGGCACCTTTGAATGTGAACACCATTATAGGGCCTAGGGCATTAAGGTATGCTAATCGGCCAAGTAGTCTGGTTTCAGCAGCCACATTTCCCTCTTCCTTTTCTCAAGGAGTTATTAAAGGCTGGAATAATTGGGCAGCTCTTCGACAATCCAATGGCTTTCCATTGTGTTCTGATTCAATCTACAGAAGGCCTCATGTTTTCACCGAGCCTTCTCTGATTTTTGGTGGCCCTGCATCATCAATAGAGTTTGTGCCATTCCCTTGCTATCAGAATGTTGTGAAGTCTTTGGATTAAGGTTTCGTCTGTGACAGCTTTCTCATTGCTTTCGAAAACAATTTTTAAGTACAAAAAATTTTAATTCGATTCTTTTTTAACTAAAATACTATTTTAGAAAGCATTAAGAAAGCCGTACCAAACGAACCCTAAGTGTCCACTTTAATGGCTCCTCAGCCCATTCCTTTGAAACCTATTAGCACAATATTCTCATCTACCACCTCCACTGAACTCTGGTGATGTCACTATATTCTCTGTTGCCATTGAATCAGAATACACAAAAGATATATAGAGTAATGAATTGGAATTTCTTCCTGAGTAGGATGGCTCTGTCTCTTCTGTCTATGAGCTCGATATTGACATGGGGGGAACTTGTGCAGTGTGGTGCTCAGAAGAAATTGCTTCATATGAGAAGGTTTTTGATATGAGAAATTAAACAATGCATTTACTGTGTACCATAGCATAAAACCTGCCTATGCAGAAATTTGTAGGTATTACTGTTGAACGAAATTTCAGAGTTGTGATACTTGTTTCATAGCGTCTTTGATAATTGAAATTGAAAAGAAACATGACTTGTTACTGACTCAATTTTCATCAGATAGATTTTAAAATTAAGGCTCAGTCCCACGCTTTCATAGCTTGGTTGGTGAGCGAGTACGGTTGGGAACCCGCCAACCCGTGCTCAATTCCCCTCGTGCGGCAGAGTTTCTTAAGTGGGGTCCAATCAAGTGCTGGCCATAAGATTTCTGGGGTGGGTGTATCTTCTAGGTCAGCCGAGGATTAGTTATGCCGTCAAGCGCGCTTTTAGGGGTGGTAGTGGGTGGATATTCCATTCCCATAAAAAGAAAAGTAAAGCTAGGAATGAATACATGTGACATAGTACTTGAAGTATCTCAAAAATTGCAGTTTATGATTTTATTTGGGATGATTTTTTTACTGTTTGCTTTTCATATCTTAATCACAATTTCTATTTTGCTAATATTTTTTTGCTGCTTAAAAAAAAAAAAAAAACTTGTACTAAAAATTTGCTTTCTATCATAAATTTACAAAACGATAAGAAAATTATTTCAAACAAAAGCTTTTTCTTAATTTTGATATTTAATAATACATTTTATGCTATATATATGTATGTATGTATTGAGAGAATACTTGTTATATCTTTTATGATAAATATTTTTTTAATGGTGTGGGGATTTAATGCATATAAAACTATTCTTATATATATATATATATACATCATCTAGTTTTAATAATTATTTAGATGGTTTGGTCACATTAACGGAGGCATTCTAATGACCAGCTTAGGAAAGTTGAGGTATTAAATTTGACTTATGTTAAGAAAGGTAGAGGTAGATCTAAAAAGACTTGGTTATAAAATATTAGAAATTATCTTTCTTTTTTTGATTTAAATGTAGTCATATAGCCGACCCCATGTAGTGGGACAAAGGCTTGATGTTGTTATTATTGTTGTTGTATTAGAAATATTATTAATATTTATATTTTATAAATAAATATATATTTTTTAATTTGATCGTGATGGCAAGTAATATTAAAATTTAAGGGTATGTATGCAACTTATTATTATTATTACTATTATTCTTTAGATTTTATATTAAATACTTTTATTATTGGTATATTATTTATAAAATTAAAATACGATTTTCAAATTATTTAAATCTAAGAAAAATATCATATGCCAATTTTTAAAGTAAACTTAATAGTAATTGAATCAGGATTTTTTATCTTTTTATTTTGAAAACCAATTAGGAACTTTAAAAACTCAATCTCAAGTTTCAAAACATGCAAAAATAAATGGCCTAAAGTGGTTGTATATCATGAGAGATTGCTTTTACTATTTATTGTCATAAAACTGAATGATTCTCTGTGTCCAAATTTTTTCCCCCCTAAAATTATTAGATAGTTGGCCACTGGGCTTTCTTATCCTTGGGTTTTCTGCCTTTGCTGCGTCCGAAAAAAGCTCTACCATTTTCCTCTACCAGGCTCGGGCGAGATATTATAATGGAAGCATTTCACTGGTTCATGCCCATTACGAAACCTCTCTATCATCCAGAAATCAGGCTCTTCCGCCCGGCCAAATCTTGGTCTTCCAAAATTGCGCGCCTTATTATCCCGAATTTGGCTGATGAAAGAACCCGGTTGAATTCCGTTGACGCTAAGGCCAGTGTTTCGGCTTCTTCTTCCGATGAAAAATCCATGAAATCCGATTTCCATGTTCGCTTCCGTCAAAGAGAAGGAGAAGAAAGTGAGAGGAGTAGAATTGAGGAGGAAGTACGGGAGGCGTCGGAGGAAACCCTCGAGTGGCGTTCAGTATGTTCGCAGCTCTCTGCTTTTGCTTCGACGGCCGCTGGCCGCGAGGTTTGCCGGAGTGGGAGGCTTCGGGTCGGCGGGGACCAAGCCGAGAGCCAGAAGCTATTGGATCAGACGGCGGCAGCGGTCTTGCTACCGGAGAAGTTGGATTTTTCCGATGTTGATGATGTGTCTGAGCTTGTGAGGACGGCTGTTGATGGAGAGCCTCTCACTGTTCGGGAGCTATGTGCTGTTTGGAGGAGCCTTACGTCTGCAAGAGAACTTTTGGGGCAATTGGTGAGGGTTTCATCAATCGGGGAGCCTTCTGATAGGTTTGCAAGTCTTCCTTCTGCTGTTGGTTACATAGGAATGTTCTAAATTCCAAAATTAAAAGATGTTTAACTGTTGTAAAGGAAGTTTCTTGATAAGGTTGTGATTTGTGAACTATTTTGATTTTTGCCGTTAATATGGGAGATATCATATACAAGCATATCTTGCGGTTCTTTTAGTTTTTAAAGATATTCTTATCAAGAAATTTATGTAGCAAGAACTACCAGAAATAACAACTGTTAAACAACAGTAATCATGCTGTAGAATCCATAAACAATATGCAAAAATGTTAGTTGATGCAATTAAATGCTAAATAACATTGAACATTCATACCATATACAAAGAAATGTTTCATCAAAGGTATCATATGCTACATGCTGGTCTCTCATAGTACCTTCAATCTAAAGAAAGTCATCCCCATCTTGGAGTCTGTCAACCCCTTTCAAAATGGTCACTTTTGAATATTAGGATTGTCGGCTAGGCTAATCAGTAGTGTATATCAATCAAAAAGGGTACTATTGTTAATCATATTCATCATCATCAAACACATCAACGTAATTATATATGCATAAAGATGCATGCAAATTTCAGTTTTTATTTTAGTTTTCTATTGTAATTTGAATGCTATAGTTATTTTTGAATTTTTTTATGCTACCATATGATGGAAGGCAACCAATGATCATGAGTAGGTAGTGATTGGACATGTTTTACTTTGGGTTTGCTAGCTTCTTTGGTGCCTTGGCTCTTGGGCTGATGTGGGCTTCTCGGTTTGGAATTGGTTGTTTGGGTTTTGCTGATTTGTTGGGAGCTGCTATGTTCCAGCTCATTATTGTTGAGTTGCTGCTTCTTAATCTGCTCATTATTACTTGTAGTTCACCTCCTTTTTAGCTCATTATGAGGTGTGGATTTGGTTCTTTCCCCCTCTCTGTTGGCCTTTCGGTTTCTCCGCTGGCTCTTGTCCCGTGGCTGGTTTTTCCTGTGCCCCGTGGCTGCCTTTTCCTGTCCCCCGTGTGGCCCTTCAGGTGCTGCTCCTAGAGCCACCTGCTGGCATTTTGTTTCCCCTTTCCTGATTGGTTTGGCTGGAGGTGTTTGGGGCTGTTTAGCTGCCTCTTTTCACCTATATATATGTGGTGTTTTGGAGCATTTGGAGGTTGTTGTTTTGTTGAGCAAAGTTCTTTAAAAACCTGAGGGTTTCTTCTTGGGAAAGCTTGCGAGCTTGTTCAATTTCTCTTATCATCTCTTCGATTTCGTCTTGGGCTTCTTATCTTTTTCTTCTTCCCACAAGTTCCACTCCACTTGTATCTTTCTTCTTAAGCTATTGGAGGTGTTGGTTGGCCGATTTTGTAGCATTTGCTGGAGGAGTTTGTGATGGACATTGGCCCAAGTAGTTGTGGTGGACCTTTGGTTTGCATGTCCTTCAGCACATCTTTTATTTTACCTATTATTTCGTTGCATGTGAGGTGTCCGCTAGTTGGTTGTTCTGAGGGTAGCTGTTTTTAATTTTTTTTTTAGTTTTCGTTTGTTTAACTTTCATTTGTTTGATGTTGGTTTTCTAAGTTTTGAATCGAGAATAGTTATACTAGTCCTTTGGTTTTTTCTATCTAGTTGCCAACATCTTATAAGATGTCATATCTACCATGCAACAACAAATATACTCTATTAATATCCATCTATATATATCCATCATCATAATTAAAAAAAAATGATAAACAAATAAATTCAATTGCACCACAATGATCTCAAAGACATGAGAAATAAGGCGATACGAGAATCTGCACAATAATGAAGCCAATAAAATTCATGCACAATCATTAATATGCTAAGCTTTATGTGCGTATAATGAAAACAAGTGATTATTATCAAAAAATAAACTACTTATAAACTAACCTGTACAAATCATGAGGATAAACTACACGGATGTTAAGGGAATACTCTTAATGAAGAAGGGTACATCTATCTCTAAATGAGTACAAGTCACCTACCTCAAGCAACTTAAGATGCTTTTATGGTTTGAACATGAATATGATTAGCTCAATTCCAACAAATGGTCCATAAATCTTAAATTCAAGAGAATCTAAATAAAACATATATTTATTTATTTTTTTGAGAGAAAAAACATATATTTATTACAATGTAAAAAACTAAGGCTATGAAGCCCTGAATAAAGTTTAACCAAACATAATAACATTTGGAAAGATATGGGTACGTATCTTTCCCGACAAACCTGTTACTGTAAGACCTACAGAAACACGTATGGGTTCGGGCAAGGGATCCCCCGAATATTGGGTATCCGTTGTTAAACCGGGCCGAATACTTTATGAAATGAGTGGAGTATCAGAAACTGTAGCCAAAACTGCTATGGACGAGAAATAGAACTGCTAAAAGCTTCACTCTTATAGCTGTCGACTCCGGTTGACTACCAATGCTTAACTGCTCGGACTGAGGGATCCGAGTCTCCACCAACTGCTCCTGGTCTCGTCTGTAAAAAAATTTTAAGAATTCAGCCTACTATCATTTCTGCATTATGTTTATCTGAAAATGGTCTTGATTTCTCGCCTCTGACCTGTGATCTGGTAAATGCTTGTAGATTAATAATCATTTTTGGACAAGAGCAACTGTGTAAGGTTCTCTATGAATTTATTTGTGAACAGGTACTTTCCTCTTGCTGATATTCTTCAAAACTGTGATTTTCTGACAGAATTGGTGAATAAGATGACATTTTGCTTTGATTGTAATCTCTTTGTAATTTTGGACCGGGCTAGCGCTAGGTTAGCTGCCATCAGATTAGAAAGGAGACACAACATGGATAAAATGGAAGAGCTTTTGAAGGAGGAGTCCATTAAAGTTTTTCAGGCTGGTGGCATTGATAGCCCATTAATAACCAAGCGTCGAACCAGGATGTGTATTGGTGTGAAGTCTTCATACAAATCATTGCTTCCTGAAGGTGTTGTACTGAGTGTGAGTAGTTCTGGGGCAACATACTTTATGGAACCAAAAGGTGCAATTCAACTGAACAATTCTGAAGTAATGCTTTCAAACTCTGAAAAAGCTGAAGAGCTTGCTATTCTGCGCATCCTTACTTCTGAAATAGCAGAGTCAGAAGCCAGTATCATGCGTTTGATGGAGAAGATTCTGGAACTAGATCTTGCTTGTGCTAGGGGTGCATATGCCCTGTGGATGGATGGGGTGTGCCCATCTTTCGTTGACGACAATGACAGGGATAAATTAAATGGAAATATGCTCTCTGTTGACATTGAAGGCATTCATCATCCTTTGCTCCTTGAGCCTTTTCTTACACGTTCATCTTCTGGTTTGTTTTCAGTAGTTGGGAGCCAAAAGATGCTGAGAATGGAGGATTGCATATCACAAACTAGGACTAAATCTGAATCTCCCGTTCCTGTAGATATCAAAATAAGAGCTTCCAAAAAGGTAGTTGTGATTTCAGGACCTAATACTGGAGGAAAAACTGCAACCTTGAAAACCTTGGGCTTGGCATCTTTAATGTCAAAGGCAGGCATGTTTCTTCCGGCAAAGAAAAAACCTAGGATTCCATGGTTTGATCAAATTCTTGCAGATATTGGTGACCACCAGGTAGTTTCTCTTTTCAATAAAGAGAACATGTCTGTACATTATGGTGAAAACTTAGTATAAATTCTGAAACACTTATTTTCTGGTTGAAGTCTCTGGAGCATAACCTTTCTACCTTCAGTGGGCATATCTCACGTATCTGCAAAATAATACAAGTTTGTACGAAAGAATCACTTGTTCTCATAGATGAGATCGGAAGTGGTACTGACCCTTCAGAAGGTGTGGCCCTCTCCTCCAGCATACTGCAGCACCTTGCTGAATGTGTCAATCTGTTGGTGGTAACCACCCATTATGCAGATTTAAGTCTCCTCAAAACCACTGATTCTAGATTTGACAATGCAGCAATGGAGTTTTGTATAGACACCCTGCAACCCACATATCGCGTTTTGTGGGGAAGTACTGGTAACTCAAATGCCTTAAGTATTGCCAAGTCAATTGGTTTTGAGCAGGAAGTGCTGGACCGTGCTCAAGAGTGGGCTATGAAGTTAGCTCCTGACAAACAAACGGAATGGCAGGGTTTGCTTTACCAATCTTTAGTGGGAGAGAGAAGTGTATTGGAGTACCAAGCAAAAGAAGCTGCTTCTCTTTTTTTAGATGTTAAGAAGCTTTACTTTGAGGTATTCTCTAGCTACATGAGGAAAACATATATGCTTTATTTCTTTGTTTGGCTGCAACTGCATTTCATGGTGATTGAATCTTTCTCTATTTCTGGGTAATTTTCAGCTCAAAGTACTACAACAACAATATGAAGCCTTTATTCCACTACGTGGGGTCGGCTACATGAATCCCTTTTATATATTCTGTTTTATTAAGAGTCAAATTCTCATTTAAATCTAATAAAAAAGATGTCCTTTCTAATGTTTTCTAACCAAGTCTTTTTAGGTCTATCTCTAACTCTCTTAACATAGGTCAAATCTAATACATCTACTTTCCTAACCGGGTCATCAAAAAGCCAATGTTTTATGCGACAAAATCATCTAAGACGACTCTCTCTAATCTTATATGTCACTGGAGCTACTCTAACCTTTTCACGTATATTCTCGTTCTGCATTCTATCTCTAAGAGTAAAGCCACTCATCGACCTGAGGAACCTTATCTCTGCAACGCTTAACTTAATTGTATATTTCTCTTTTAATGGCCAATATTCTGCACCATAAAGCAGTGCAGGTCACCACCCTTAAGTTTGAGGGGTACTTTTCTATCACACAACAGGCACGATGCATTCCTCCACTTCCAAAAAGGAAAAGTTTAGATGGACCCCCTGAAAATGAAAAAAGCATTTCAACTGATTAAAACAAAGATGAGCCAAACACCTATTCTTATTTCTTAGGTTAACTGATTTTGACAAGATTTTTAAGTAGACTGTGATGCATCCCATATTGGCATAGGAGCTATCCTTGGTCAAGAGGGTCCACTCTTTGTTTTCTTAAAACTCAATGATACACGATCGTGATATTTAACTTATGATGTTAAGTTCTATGCGATTGTCCAAGCCCTATAATTCTGGATACATTATCTTATTCAAAGGGATTTTGTATTAAACTCGATCGTGAAGCACTACGATATTTGGGGTAAAAATAATTGAATCGAAGACATGCTAAGTGAACATCTTGCTTACAAGAATACACATTTCATCTTAAACACAAAGTTGGAGTCGTAAATAAAGTCGCTGATGCTTTAAGCAAGCGAGGACTGACTTGGGTGGTTCTTATTGGTTGTTTTGGAGGCACATTTATGTGATCAAATTAACACTTTTTCACCCTCCTATATATAGTGGTTGAATCTCTATTGTGGGAGGTTGTTGGTGAAGTGAAGAAAAAAAAAAAAACTCAGGGTTTCTTCTTAGCTTGCGAGCTGTCTTCTCCCTAATCCTTATTTCTTCCTCTCGGTCTTCTTTCTACTTCTTCCCTACACGATTTCCCTTCCATCAATATATTTCTTCTCTAAACATTGAGAGTGTAAGGTGGTGTTGTACCTTGTCTTGTTGGTATTTACCAGAGGAGTGTCGACACGTGTTGGATCATAATTTCAGTGGTGGATCACTAGTTTGTCCTTTCGTTTGAGCACATTTTCCTAGTTTGTGATTTGCATGTGAGGTGACCAATCGTGATTCTTCCGAGGGTATTTTAATTTATGCATTTTTTTCCTTTTCTTTCTTTCTTGCGTGAATTCCTAACCATTTTCCTTCTTTTGTTTCCTACTAAGATTACATCATTTGGTGATTGTTTTTGTGACATTGAAAGGAAGGGTTTTACTTGCATACCTAGTGTTCTTCTACTTGATTTAAGAATTTAGGTTGCATCATCCATCCTCTAACGCCATCCAAGTTCTTTTTCAAACATATCAAGAATTTGAATACTCTATCTCAACAATCTTTCGGTGAAGTGCGTGATCTTCCGGGCATTTTTATCGATACTGTTCAAACATATCTAATTGTTGCCAATAACGGGTTAGAGTATTAAAATATTGAGTTACCGTGAAGCCCTCTTGTCGACAGTCGTGAAGGATGGTCTCAATTGCAAATAGCTCGGAAGTGTTTTTGGAATTGGAGTACCTCCCATATTTCTTGGGTCGTCTCTTAAATAAGAAAGTTCTCACCGATTTCTACATTCATGAAGTTGATGAGCCAAGACATGTTCTATTGATTCTTTGCTTTTCATATTCTTAGAGAGGATCAGTTTGCAATAGTATAGGGGATTCACCAGTGAGATAATCCTCTTTTCCTCTCCCGTAAATAAACATTCTCATCGATTGAGGCCATTGCAAAACATTTGCCCATTAAATCTATGGTTTGTGATGAGAGGAGGAAGAGGAGAAGAGTTGTCTACAAATCTAGAGTTTACAGTGTCTAAACCAGTAATATTTGGGTTGGAGGATGAGATATCGCTATTCATGGACATGGTTGGGTTTCCTCGGTTGAAAGAGAAGATGAATTTTGGGCAAGAGCTATCGGTGCTTGAAGAGAGACTATCGGTAGGATGATGAAGAGTTACCTTTGGCTGAAGGTTTGAAGAAAAAGAGGAAAGCTTGCCTCCGGCACTCAGAGAAGACTTAGGATTTTCCTAAGCTCTGATAACATGAAGAAATTATTTAGGAAAAATTGAATTCAAATTTTTATTCCTTGGAATCATTACATATATGTACACAGAAGAAATACATTTAATCTAATTAATTATAATAAATAGAAGAAAAAAGTCATTTAATCTAATTGATTCTAATAATTATATTCTACGGAATTTGGAATCAATCCCATGAATCTTGGTGTGTTAGAGGAAATCTCCAACTACAGCTCACGGATTGTTGACTGTCAAAGTCGTGGATCCCCTCCTTGCTGCGTGATTTAACAGGGAGGAATAATAATGAATTCTTAGCTAACATTAATAATAATAAAAAATAGTTACTAAACAAGTAATGCATGTTACTTTGGAATATGTAACTCATTAGTTGAATTTGTCATCACCTCGGGTTTTTTTGTAGTTAGGAAACCATTTTGTTGATTAATTCGAGCAGGCGCATAATCTCCTAATAGTATTCAAATTTAACTTGTTTTAAGTATTCATATCATCAACTTTGTTAGGGAGTGAACCAAAGGGGAATCATAGTTGGGCATGACACACTAGTGCACAAACTTATTTATGTTTCAAAAGCTCAAGCTTATGATAGAGCGTCAATCAGTTGGTATTTTTATACTAACATATTTTTCACCATTTTGAAATGGAATTAAGCACAATACCTCACTTGTTGCACTGCATAGCCATTTATGAGATCGAGAAATTTGATGGCTCAAAGAGTTTTTGTCTTTGGAGAGCCAAGATTTGAGGTGTTTTAATCCATTGAAGACTTGTGAAAACACTCACGACACATTTGAATACACATGAGATTATGAGTAAATAGTAGAAGATAAAGATGATGGAAAAGCTGGTCGATGTTATTGACCCATTAGGTATTTGAGGAAATTATTGTATTTGGGGTTGGGGGAGGGATCTTCGTGCATAATGAAAAGTCTCTCTAAAAAAAAAGATAACATTTATTATGCATGCGTGAAGGGAATAATTGAGAATGCATAATTGTGCAGCTACGACATTAATAAGAGCCAGACATGTACCTAATTTTTGAAAGAAACTTTTATATTTTGAGTATCTTCACTGTTGCAAGATTTAGGTATTTAATCCTTTACTATTTGCAACTGTGCGTATATTGTTATGAAGGCAAATACAGTTGGTGGACTATATTATTGGGCTAACTTATAATGGACTTGCTTTAGTTTCAATGTTTTTGTCTGAGAACCTTGACTCGGGAAAACAAAAAAATGTTGAGGGAAAGACTATTGGAGAATGGAGATGATCAGGTGAATTGATCTCATGTTGCATAGTCTAACTCAATACTAGGCTGTCTCATTGCAACATTTAGAGTGAGGAGATCACCACTTTGGGGAACACAAATTTAGGGATCATATGGTTTGCTGGAAAAAAAAAGTAGAGTAATAATGCAATATATTTGAAATATTTTGGAGTTGTTTGGATAAATGTAAGATAAATGCAATTTTTTAAAAAATTGGCTTGAAGTAATTGAATGCAGGACAAAGCCCAATGATCATGTTGGTTAGTGGTCAGTCGCGGCGATGGTCACAGCTACTAGTGGGGAAGGGTGGCGATGGGTGCATCGGGGATGGGTGGGGGCTAGTGGTAGTAGCTTGCGGCCAGTGGCAGCTAGCAATGACGTTCATGGCAATAATGACGTAGAATTTACAGTGTATTTGGAACTTGATCAAATCTAAAGATTTCCTAATACTCCAAAATTGAATTAGAGGGTGAATAAAAAACTTCAGAACTTTACTATGTATTTCTTTTACTTCATGCCAAAAAGCCAATGTTTGCAAAACCCTGCATTTGAGATATTTTATACTCATTTTACTTCAAACCAAACGGCCCCTTAATGGTAAATGCACTTATGGTATTAGTGAGCTCACTTTAGTGTGCACTAAATATGCTTAAAAAGTAACTAGTAGGTGTTTAGGGATCATTTTGTACATTGTGAGGAGTAAGGACAAAACAGGAGATGATAAGGTGGAAATAAAGATTCTTGCTAGCTTGGCTTGTGGGTTCAAATATTAGTTAGTTTCTTTAGGTTTTGCAGTTCTTAACCCTTTTGGGTTTTAAAGTTTGGTTTGGAGAGATGTAACAGAGGAGAGCCAAATTTATTTTCATATTATTGAGTTTATTGGGGGATTTGTTTGTAAATTGATTCAATAATATAGTAAAGAGAAGCACAATATATACTAGTTTATATAAAATCAGGTTTAAAAGTTTAATAGAAAATTTATTTTTTTGATTGCTTTTTATGTCAATTTGACTTGGATTTAGATTTGAAATGTCCTCATTAAATTCTTATAAACACGGGTGCTTATTTTAACTAAGTGTTGAGCAATTTGTGTGAAATTTTTTAAGGTTGAAAGCTGCATGCAAATCTAAAGGAATGCTTTGGACTGGCTTCGAAAGATGCAGTGGGATTCTTATTGGTTTTTTTTTATATATAATTTTAAGTAGAAATCAAAATTGCGTGGGAGAGGAACTAATGTTAAAAGTGAAAAAAAAATAGAGAATTGAAGAGAGGAAGGAAAAATGAGGGATGAAAAAAAAAATCTAGTGACCATGGAGTGTGCCGTCTTTGATGTGATGAGTGCATGATTGTGCCAAAAAAATTACGATGATTTCATAGACAAGCGGAAGGTATTCTTTTGAGTAACTTTTAAATGACTTATTTTTAATATTAGTTTAATTCTTTTTTAATAATTTACTTGCATTATTATCTCTTGTGTTTGTCCGGAGAGATTTACTTTTTCTTTTGTGGTGAAATTGAGTGTACTTATGTTTGAGAAAGGTGTTTTCTTATTACCTGTTTATTTTGTGCACCTGTGAGGCTTCTATAGTGATCAGATCATCTTTACTTTATCATGCATGAAGACTATTATTTTCGCTGAATCACATAAATTAGGGTTTAGGGTATGGTATTTAACCTAGATTTGAAATAATTGAGTCTTGCTTGACTATAACTCAATTAAAAATTATTGAATTCCTAGCTGGTCTGAAGGGTTTACTTGAAATTAAAGTAAACGTAAGTTTTGGAGGTAGGTATTGTACTCATGACCTCCTGCTAGGGTTTAATTATAGTATCGAATGGCAAACTAGTGAGGTTTTTATTCTATATATCAAATGTACATCATTATAAAAAAACTTAAATTTGACTTGAATCTAATTTAAAGCAAACCGTCATGAAGTTCAAATCGGCTCGAAATGAATTTCAAGCCAACACAACAACAATATCATCAAGCCAAGCACCTTAACTCCAAATTAGATTGGAACAAGTTTGAGCCAAATTCAATCTGACTGAAAAAATCAAACAAATTTTGAGCGATTTTTTACTTTCCTATATTCTTGTCTCCAATCTTCTAGTATAAATGTTTCTTTTTCATCATGTGCCAGTAAATATTTCTAAGTTCTTTGTGAGAGCCTACCCACGTTGTTTAAAAGTCTATCATAATTACTGAAGCAGTTTAAGTGAAACTTTTTGAGGTTTGCGCACAAAAGCCAACCTGAACTATGCCAAAATTCAGCAAATTCTCGTACATTACACGATCCATGCTTTAACTGCCAACCATCTTTATCGTTGTTGCATGTCATGTTATGTAATGTTTTAAGTCTTTATTTGATCAGGATTCTATGCAAGAATAAACCAAAGTAAAAGCCCCTCGTTTGCTTGCTTTATCTGTTATCAGTCCACACTACTACAGTGTTACTAATTTGTTGCTTATCTTTCCTCTATGTAGATCCAAGCTGAGGCTCAAGACCTTAGCACACGCGAGATGGCTCTTAAGGCAAATGAATCTAGAAATTTGCAGCAGGAGCTAACATCTGCAAGGTCTCAATTGGAAGCAGTCATCAAGAATTTTGAAGATCAGCTCCAAACTGCAAACCCGGATCAGTTCAATTCAATTCTGAGAAAATCAGAGTCTAAAATTGCCTCAATTGCTGCAGCTTATCAGCCAACATTTAACGATACATCTGAAGAAGAAGACAGAAATAGCTTATATACGCCAGAAATTGGTGAAAGAGTTTATGTGAAGGGATTTGGTGATAAGGTAGCTATTGTCATTGAAGAACCAACAGAAGATGGCATTACCACGGTACAATGTGGGAAAATAAAAGTCCGTGTGAAGAAAAATGACATGAGACCAGTCCGAACCAGTACAAAGGGTAGGGCAACTAGTTCAGGCTTTCAACTAAGAGAGCAGGTGAGAATGTCATGACTCATGAGTTCTGAGGAAATCTTATAGAATCATCACTACCCACCACTTAAAATCCCACAAATCACGTCTTAACCCCCTAGTCCTAAAAACCCCTATAGAAAAGGAAGAAAGAAAGAAAAAAACACTACTAAAACTCTGCCACACGTGTGCACAAGGTCGAGCACGCTTATGTGCCCTCAAATCTTTCAAAAACATCTTTTTAGGTTCAGCTCACTAGTTTTCTTGGATTACTATATGTTAATTGATGTTTATCTTGCATGCCAATGACATCCTGTGATTATTTCTTTTACAGATTTCATGAGATTGCGATTATATTCAAATCAATTAGTGCATGATCTTATCTTTTGAATGATTTTTAGGCGGATAGTAAGTTGAGAAACCTAAGTGAAGTGTATATTGACAATTTTCTCATTAAAGATTGATAAAAAAATATCATGTACTCACGTTCAAGGTCACATGATCACATTAATGGTCAAATTAACAAAGGTGTTATTGTTGGGACTTGCGTGAAGAAGGATAGTAACTTGAACGACCTAAATGATGTATTCTAAACTAAATGGATTAACATGAAGTGTGTGATCTATAACACAAGGGCCTGCATGTAATTTGTATCTTTTTTATAATCAAAATGCAAATAACATTTTCATGTTATGTGTAATGTTGCTAAAACCTTCACACTTGTGCACTTGTATATATATGCACTCACAAAAACCTTCAAAGATTTGTTTCTATGTTCAAGTTTCTATTAGAATAACATCAATGTTTATTTTTCTCACCAAATAACATAGCCTAATTTATTCTATTAGAATTTCATTATATTGACATTTTTTAAGCAATTGGATTAGCATATGCCCTTACTACATTGTCAGTGATATTTAGGTTATTTACTTTCATAAGCCTTCAAAAATATCTGTAGGTTCATTATTATCATTGATTATTTCGATGAACTAATACTGCATGCCAATGACATTCCTGAAACATGTTTTTGATGAATTTTTATTATGTGCGGAGATCGGACGTCTGGAGACCAATAAAAATATGCCACATCATCTCAAAAATGTACCGCGCTCAGTACCGAGCATGGGAAAACCGTCCGGTGTCCGCACAGAATAATAGCTCATTTTTTACATAATTTCATAATGTTATATATATATATATATATATAGTTTCATAGCATCTTAACATCTTGCGAGTGATCGCAGTTTTAATGTACTTTGTTCCACGTGCCTTGTTCTTTACAGGTGTGTGATGACAATAATTGGTGCACAGCCTCCCTAATGGTTTATCCTAGAGTTTTGCTATACTTAATTGTTTGCTATCTGCGTTATATAGGGTTCCTATGGGCACAATTTCAACCTTCAATTTTGTCTTCTGTTACAGAAAGACCTGCAGTTGATCTTATTACTGAGATGGACATTATAAAAAACATGTTCTTACCTGCATTGCATATTCAGAGAATAGGAACAGTTTCCTCTTCCTGCGTGTGAATTGAGAACTTAGAATATTTTCGTTTTAGGCTTTGTTTGGGACAACTTTCTTACTGCTTTCTAACGTAAATTTTTACTGCAAAAAGTGATTTAGAAAGCGGTAAGAAAGCTGTCCCAAATAAAGTCTTATTAGCTTAATTTCCATCAAAATTCAAGCTAGAACTTTCATGTTAGGCTTTTATTTGATTTTTTCATGAAGCCTTGCTGCAATAGATTGTGCTAACTTTATAGAAAATATTCTTTGTAGGAGCAAAATAAGCAGTTCATAGAATCCCCAAAGGATGAACAGAATGAGGGAGAGGTTTCTTTTGGGCCAGCAGTTAGGACATCGAAGAACACAGTCGACTTGCGTGGCTTGAGAATCGATGAAGCTTCACATAAGCTTCAGATAGCCATTGCAGGATGTAAATCTCACTCAGTTCTCTTCATCATTCATGGGATGGGTACAGGTGCTGTTAAGGAGTGTGCGCTCGGCATTCTTCGAAGTCATCCTCGTGTAAATAGATTTGAAGAAGAAAGCCCAATGAACTTTGGCTGCACGCTTGCTTACATCAGATAGAACTATTCTGAGTTTTGATCAATATTCTGTTCTCTTAAAACTCCAAATAGTGCTCTGTCAGTGGTGAGTGCTCTGTGTCAGAAACAGAAATGTTGATGAATGTTTGCTGATGAGAAATTGGGGTTTCAGGATAGCTTGACACCTTGGTTCAATTTAAGATACGAGATAGTTTTTGATATATGTTTTTTAAGTAGTTATAATATGTTATGTATTTTGTAGGGTAATTCGCTATTCAGCTATACAAAATTAATTTTACGATATAAAAAAATTATTTTGCAGAATTATAAGTATTTTCTTGTAATTTGACGATGGGCTGAAGCTAAATTTAGTTGGGGACATAATTTAGGCTTTGTTTGATTAGGAGTTTTTGATGCTTATTCTGTTTAAAATGACAAATTTATTTCTTCTTTATTATTTCATTCATCAAATTACGTTCCCAATAACTCCATTTTTGTCATTTTTTTGTTGTTTTGAGAAAGCTTTTTATATATACTTCTCTGTTAGAAAACTTCATTTTCTAAATCAATGTTTCTTAAAACTGCCTTTTGTAAAAGTACTAAATAACCAATGAAGCCTTAGTGTCTGTTTGATAGTGTTTTCACGTTCTTGTTTTTTTTAAAAAAATGCCATATTTTTGTCTTTTTTTTTTTTGTTTTTTGAAATTTTTGTTAAGATAAGCATTTTAAAAAAACAAGTTTATTATAATATGATAGTTTTTTTAAAAAAGTCCTTTTTAATTTTATTTTCAGAACTTGAAAAATTTATGCTGCTTGTTATAATGGTTCAAAACTCTATTATTTCAACAACTCATAACTACTTTTATGCAGAATTGCAGCCATCCCAATAAGACCCTTATTTACAACACAACAGCATTTAATCTCTTGATTAAGAGCTTTAACTATCAATTAAAAATTCCGTAATGCTTATTTTGAGTGTTCACTGCTTGATAAAAAAAATGAACGTTGAAACATAAATTTAAATTAAATAAACTTAAGTCTTCTTTGGGATAATTTTTTTTACTATTTTTTAAAACAATTTCTTAACATACAAATTTTAATAAAAAAATTTTAGTCTTAAAAAATTATTTTAAAAAATAATAAAAAAAATCATCTCAAACGAAACTTAAATATCAAAATCTTATTCTCTAAACCTTTAATTTTTTTTATTAATTAGGCTAATTACATTTTTAATGAGCTTTCCAATATCTCTGTCGCTAATTTATACAGCATAATCACTAGCGGTACCAAAAAAAAGGCTTACACTTTCAATAGCTTCAAATTTTAGATTTAGCATCTAAATTGCAACTTTAACCTGCAGTAACAGTCATAAATGCTTGGAATAGCTACAGTCATACATGCTACTGCTAGAATAGATAAAACAGCGACAATAAAAAACAAAAAAAGATGAACGCTTATAGATGCCTTCATTGATCTGAGCAATGCCGCAACAAAAAACGGGAGCACCCTCACAAGTTCAGTTGAGCTACAACAACGATCAGAAAAATTAAGGTAACTCTGATTTTGCTATAAATAAATAGCTTAACATGTAGCTTCGTTTGGGACGGCTTTTTTATTGCTTTTTAAAACAGCTTTTTAGTATAAAAATTTTAATTTTTATATAAAAAGCTGTTTTAAGAAGCAGTAAGAAAGCGTTCCAAATGAAATCTTAAATGAAAAGACCATCAAGACCCCTGGGTTAGTCTCTGCATCTCCCCTTGGCCATCAAGAGTTTCCATGAGCAAGGGAGGGGCATATTGAGCATTCCCTTGGTGCTCATCAGCATCTTGGCAGAAGGAAAGGATGATTGTGTCGATGGACATCTCAACAACTGAAAAGAAAAGGGTTGCAACAATGTAGCCCAGTCCCCAACATACCTGCAAAGCATGAACGATACATGCACATTTCAGATGTACAGTTTGTGACATTTGAATTTATGGCACTTGTGACAGAGATGAGATTCATAGCAAATTTCTCACATTCCAGTATACAATTCAGATAATTATTCAAATACTGAAGTACAATTGACCCCTTCTAGTTTTAAATAATTTTATCATATTCTGTCATTTCTTTTTGTGATTCTGTTACGCTGCCGGCCCAGGACGTAAAACAAAAAAAAAAGAGTTAACAAACCAGAATTGTCAACTTTTAATTTGTTTCTTACAAGAAAATAGTAATCATAAAATGGTCTTAGTAGATGCAGAAGATTTCTATTATGTAATAGCTTGAATAACAAGTCAAATATGGTGGACATTATAAAATCTTTGGTGTTATGAAGCACAAGAAATCTGCATTATACTACGCTGCAGCAGCTCTTCAACCTATAAAACACGCCAATATCAGCACAGCTATTCTAGGTCACCAAGCTAAGACAATTTTCTTAAATTTATATCATTTCACTTAGGCATCTCTAGTACAACCCATAATGCATTTTGAACAATGCATTAAATCAAATCCTGTATTAATGCTCAGATAAATTTGCAGCATTTGGGCAACACTAATCTAGACTTATTCAGCATGCACCACTCCAGACTATATATACCATAACCTAAATGTGAAAGAACTTTAAAGCAATTTGCAAGAATCTTCCTCACTTTATGCAAAATAACAAGCTAACACTACATTCAGAAAAGAAATAATAGATATTTAATCATGATACCATGGTGCATAAATGGCAATGTAAATATGGAAAACTTACCAGAACAGGGAACAAAGGAGAAGATATCCTATTATGGGCAGATTTATATTTGTATGTGTCCAACATGAGGAACGCAAACAAGGCACAGAAGAGGCTAACACATAACTTTCCAAGAAAGAGGATAATATCACCAATGACATTCACTTTGCCTATGCGCAATATGTTATTCATTATTAGACCTGTTGCAATAGAAGAGGCTTTGCAGAATCCTTTACCAGTAATAGCAATCTGTACGGAACAATTCACAAGAAACAACAAAAAACAAAGGAAATTCAGTTCACAACATTCAGAAATTTTGTTACGAACACAGGCAAGGAAGATGCATGTGAATAAGTAGACCAATCATGTAAAATCTACAGAAATTTACCATGATGTATGCACTCCTGTTAACAGACCTCAAGGTCCAATCAATACATCCAAGAAAGCAATTTGAAGAAAATGAAGCCATTTTCTCTATCCTGCTTACAGGAATAGTATTCACAAGCTTCAATCTGCGGCGAAGTGACTCAAGTATAAATCGTATTGACTCTACAATAGACACCACCAAAGAACCAAGTGCAACCGAGCCAAGGTTGTATCGCATGAGACGTTGCATAGAAGCAAAAACAGGAAGAAATGGAACCTCTTGCTGCAAATAGAAAGAACACAAATCAAGCAAAGCAATGAATTCACCTGTTTAGATAAAAAAAAATAGAAACAAGGGATGAATCAGCCATTAAATAGGAATTTCCATATACCTCGTAAGGAAATCATAACAATGTAACATTTAAATGCTCATGCGTCTTATTTTATATTTGAAAATGAGCATCTCTCACTCTACTTATCCCAAAATTAGGTCATCTGACTCAACTTCATGTATCCCCCTTGATGGGAAAATATGTTTATACTGATTTGAAACGAACAATAAACAAATGATTTGAGCATGTTCTATTTAATTTATTTAGAAGTTAAATTATTTTGAAGTTTTCAAATCCTATTTTTTGAATAGGTTCATGACAACTATATATAATAAAGACATCTATTAGGATGATTCCAATAATAATTTGGTTCATAAGATATAGCATGAATTCAGGCAAGTTCAAGTGTGGTGATGGTTTCATGCGAGCAAACACCGAACGAATAGAACCGGGCAAGCAAACACCGAGCTGAGCCGAGCAGTCTGCATGCGAGCACGGGAGCGTCTGGCGGGGTCAGACCACGAAATCAAGAGAGAAAATGCGTATGCGGGAGTGAAAAGTAGTAACTCCTCATGTATGATATCTTTGTTTCGCTTCATCTAGTTCAACAAACGAGCGAAAGAAATTGAGAAAGCAGCAACCAAGAGGAAGAAGGAAAAGGAAGGAAATAGAGAGATAGAGGAAGACGGGGAGATTGAGAGGGTGAGTGCCGAAGCGAAGAAGAAGAAAGTTGCGAGTGTGCGAGTTAGGGCTCGAGAAGACTGAGAATGTAAGAATTTTTCTAGTATTTATGAAATTTAAGATTATTTTTTTTCTTAGAAAATTTTAAATTCATTGTAGGGATAAATGTTTCTATTTTAAGAAATTTTAAGACTTTATTGGTATTGATTAATTAGCTTATGAGATTGTATAATTTTAAATTTAAATTTTAGAGAATAATGAGTAAAATAATAATAATAATAATAATAATAAGCTAATTAATGAAATGTATTAGTGAATATAAATAAATTAGAATAATGTAGATATTAAAAATAATAAGAATAAGAATAATAAGAGAACTAATTGGATGTGTATGATAAGTAATTAGAGAGAAAAAGAGGTAAGTGTTAATTTTAATATTCATGAGAGATTTCATTAAATAAATATATTAAAGATATTTTCATTAATAGCAAATGAGAGCTATTTAGGAATAATAAAAATAGATAATTGAAAATCTCAAGAGAAGCCTACAAAGAGCTGAGACCTAATTCAGTAACCAAGGTTCCACAAAGTTTGTAATTAAGGTTAAAAAAAAAAGTTTGTAATTAAGGTGAACCTAAAAAGGTTTTAAGATCATCCTAGGAAACAGTTCCATCCAATAAGATATCATGCATCACTTGTATGATTAGATATGAGACTTAGCATACACAAATACATTTTTCAATGTGAAAACATAAAAGGTTGCTCTCACCGATATTTCACCATGAGCCCAGTAGTAAGAAGCAACTGATCCTGCAATGACTGTCGCTGAGCATGCAATGATAAATTGTGTAGCCCAAAAACACCCAAATAGGTGAAACAGGATGGCAGCTGCAATATGAGAAGTATAGTGGATACTATAGCCACAACAATCATCACAAGAAACTCGATTGGACTTGAGATCATAGGAACAGCAATTAGCATTGCAATCATTCTTGATGATCTGGCCAGAACTGAAAAGATGCATTGCAGCAGAAAACCAGAACATATAGAAGATTGCAAGAATTGTATATGGGAAAACTGGAAAAATTATAAGGGCCTGAACCTCGCCAATCACCTTTGCAGCAACCTGCACAAAGAAATAAAGGGTCTGTCAAGTCAGGAATTGTCCATGGTTGTCTATAAGATTGATCAAAGAGTGAGGGACAAGAAATGCAACAAAGCATAACTTGAGTTTGACAGAATTATTAAAAGTCAACGTTTCCTTTGATATTTGTATATTTTTATGGATAATAATGGGAAAACATTTGAGATATATAACAGAAACATAATAGCAGGCCCAGAACCAGACAACAATGCTTACCTTCAGAACAGATGTTGCCATAAGGATGCGACGTACAATGGCTATTGAAGAAAGGATGGAAATAATCATTACAATTGTCATAAGAACAGCCATAGCACGGAGATGACTAATTTCCTGGTGACATTTAGGAAGTAAGAAATAAGGAGAAAAAAAAAAGCTTGTCTCAACATATTATTCTACTCGAAACAAGGAACGTACCCTTCCACTAAAGCTGAAGTAAGGATCACTTTCACCAATGACAACTGATACAACATCATGGCCAATCCAACCAGCTAAAGCCATTAAATAGATAATCATGAGAAGTGTTTCCATAGCAAGAAAAAGAATTTACATATAAGTAAATGATTAATCAAGTAGAAAAACATAAATAAATCGAACTTGAATACTAATAGGGAGTGTGGAATCAAAGGGGAGCAAAGGTTGGCTAAATACACCAATGGTCAAAACCGTTTTCAACCCAAAAGCTTAGACTTGGAAGTGAGGGTAACACTTAATATTTCCACTCCTACATGCTTTTCATCTAACCGATGTGGGACTAAAGCCAAAACTCTAGGGTGCCTTAACAATCTCTAGCTCATGCAAGAGCTCTCCATATCAATCAACACCCGCCCCTCAAATAAAATCATTTCAACATTACCAAATATCATGCACCAAGAGCCACTTAGCCGTGTGCATCTGTTGTGAGAGTCACTCGCTCTTAAATGATTGAACCTTGCTCAACAATGGTAGGAGCCAAAAAACACGAGTCACAAATCACATCAAATGCTCAATCTAAGTTGATTAGCAGCTTTGTTAAGTATTTCAATTTGTTATCCAAGGAAACAAAAAGTTGCCAGAATTAAGAGTTTTTTATAAGCAAAGTTCAGCATGTTTGTGTGTTTTTATGCATTTTACTGTAAATTTGCATTAACAAATCCTATAACTTAATGGGTGGAAACAAACCAAATTGGTTCAAGCCAATCTAGATTAGTTCTCATCGAGCTTGTCCTTCCTATGATTATGGAAAACCTTAACCCAAAGAGGCTACGAAAAAACAAAGCAAAAGTGGTACTAGGGGTGCAAATGAGTAGACTTGAGCATGATTCACAGTAAGCTCAAATTTGATTCGTAAGTCAAAAAAACGGCTCAAACTCAAGCTTTAGCTGAGCCCATTAAAGAAGTCAAAAGCTCGAGTCAAGAGGAAATCATAAGGCGAGCTCATTGGAGAAGGATCAATGAGAGCTCGGTGGAGGAAATCACGATGAGAGCTTCGTAGAGGAGCATCAATGAGCTCAATGAAGAAAGTATCGACAAGCACACTGGAGAAGGCATTGAATTGATGAGCCTAGTAGAAGCCAAGAGAATAGGAGTTCATGATACTCTAGGCCATTGAAGAAAGATACCGAATAAAAATAGAAAACTCTACAAAGTTAAAAGCACATTATAGAGTAGACGATCCTATTAATATGCTATGATGATAAATGTATATGGGAAATGTAAAGAGACATCTAGTTTTTTTTTTTTTTTTTGGGGGGGGGTAGGCACTTTTTGGGGGGGGGGGGGGGGGGGGGGGGTGTTAAAGTTAGATGTTTTTGGGTATAATAATTTTATATAATGGAAGGGCATTGTACTGCATCTTTTGGTTTACTAAGTGAGAACAATGAAGATTGAACAATCAATTATTAGTGGGAATACTTAAAATTGTGGGGCCCTAAATATCCACTGTAATCAAGCTAGTCGATGAGCTAATTCTCGTCAAGCTTGAACTCAAGCTCTTTTAACATGCAAGCTCAAGTTTGAGCCAACCCGGCTCACCTACAATCCTATGTGGCACCGTATGATTTTATCACCCACACTAAATGGTGCCTCAATAAGGAGGCCTAAACAATTTGAGTCAAGAAGTTAAATTGGATAGGAACCCCCTATAGGTGATCAAGCCTAAACTAATATAGTTAACTCAATATTAGACAAACGAGTCGCAATATGAATGAATTCATGATTCACTCTAATTTTCCAACTCAAAACATTTCCATCAAACCACCAATTGCAACAAATTTTTAAGACAACACGCTCTTTGATATGAACAATATATATTAATCATTGGCCAATCTTGCACACTTACCATGCCAATATGGCATCCCCTATAACATTCTTACCAAAGACATGTTAAAATAATGAATACTCACCGATATTACCTCCTAACATGACTATTGCAAAAAGGTAAAGAAATCTAGATTGACATCTCCACCAATAATTTTTTTAGGAGTCAAGATTGTCAATTAATATTATATATCTCATATCAAACACATTTATTCCACTCTTTTTCACTCTCACATCAAAAGGCTCAAAACTTATAGAGTAGAACTTTCCATAATGGCAAAAAAAAGGGAAAACCGCAATGGTGTCATGTGTTAGAGAAAATGAACCCAAGGGAAACTGAAGTCAGGTTAGATACACTTATCTTTAAACTCATTTTTTATCCAAAAGCTCAAGTGTAAAGGATAAGCAATAGATATTTGTAAATTAACATATTTTTATCCATATGTGGGATTAAGCCCAAAGCCTCACGTGACTTTAATCTCTCTTTCATTTAAGAAACCTCCGTATCGACAATCAATTTCCCCTCAAATGGCAGGTTTTTCAATATCATCAAGTATTATGCACCAAAAGTCCACTCAATCACGTGCACTCAACATTGTAGTCATTATTTATGAACATTGCTCAACTATAGTATAAGCGGATAATACTCATTGAGGCTACCAAACTATAGAGATGACAAGACATTGCCTCTTGTTTCGTCTAGTCACATTTAGAATTGAAGGCTTCTCCAAAGATGATAAGGCTTTGCCTCTTGTTTAAGGCTAAAAAAGAACATATGTGAAAAGAATAAACTAATAGCAAATGAACTTGGATAGCACAAAAATATAAAACAACACCACCATTCCATTAAATGAAAGGTACATGCCACCATCAATAGTTAAATTGCATAAAGATATAAAAATACTTTCTCGAAGAAAATAATACTGGAAGAAGTAAATACTAACCTTTTGCATAATAAAACATTGTGATGGATATTATCAAAACATTGAAGAGAATCACAGTTATCCAGGTCATTCCAGAAACAAAATGACGAACCATTAATAGCCAGATCAAAGATAAAAATAGTGGTACAATCCCTCCACAAACTATCAACACTGGCCAAGCCTTCCCAATGTCTGCAACATATCTCTGTAGAATGTTGTTTTACAGGTAAGACATACAACAAAAACAACTATCAATAGTTTCTTTCTAATAAATGGAATTGTAAGCAACCATATAAAAACAATAATTAGACAAAAAATTAACAAAATTCAATTTATATGAAGAAAAATTTTGTCGCCCACTTTACAAAACCCATTCTTTCAACAAATTTAAAAAGAAATTTGCAAGAAAATGACATTAACAGAATCTCCAAGAAAAAAAAAATAGAAGAGGTAAAATATATAATGTAAAAAATTTCAGAGGGATAAATATGAAGCATTGGCTAACCTTCAGGACAGATGACTGGGAGTTTATTGCCCTGTGGATTGTCTTATCGATTAATATGTTTTCATTTATGTTGACTCCACCCATCTGTTGCCAATGTCGCATAGATGCATTGGATGCACGTGCTATGAATTGGCAACTCCAATAAACTGATATGTTAAAAAAGCAATAAAGTTAAGAGAAATTAACATAAAAATTGGATAGTTATAACTTCAAAATTGGACATCTCGATATATCAAACTACTGGCATGAGGCAGTCGAAATGATAGATAAGTTGAGCTCACGCATGTAAATGCCTAGCATGCAATGGTCATAATTGTCAAAATTATATTGCCAAGAAGAAAACCAGGCATAAGGTGTTATGGGAATAAATACATGTCAGTCTACTCATGCTGCCATACTCACCATTTACGCTTGGAAAGATAACTGGGTAGCAGGGCCCTTGGAGCTGAAGAGAGCTATTCCTCATCTCAGGTGTCAGGAACTCATAATAATCATAGTCTCTATCAATCCAATCATCAACTGAGATGTGAATATCTCCATCTGGATAATCACAGACCCAATTGAGACCATCTTCGGATGGAATAGGGCATTCCATTAAGCATATGCTTCTAGCATCGCCAAGTGTAAACCGACTGCCCTTAAGGCCACTTTCATAAACTTGGTTAGGGTTCACCCAATATCTAATCTCCAATTCCCGAAGATCTGGGTTGGCATGTTTATCCCCACACACATTTCCTTTGTAATCCAACCCATATGTGAGCCTAAATAAGATATTTCCATTTCATTAGAAAATCAAATAAAGAATTTGATGAAAACTAAAAAATTAGCAAAAAAAAAACTAAATTTAAAGCTAAAATTTGAGGAGAAATGGACGAGCTGCAATGCGACATTTTTTAAATAATAGATTTAAGTGAGAATCAAAGAACAAACACATGCAAAAATCTTTTACGTGCCTTATGGAAAGCACTAAAGAGAACAACAAAAATGAGACATTTAAAATGCCAATCACAAAAATCAAAGGTAGGTTAAGAAATAGCGAAGCATGGCAGCTTAGCCAAATATAGATGCAAACCTTCAAATTTTCACAAGATATTCAATGCCATGTAAGCAAAAACTATTAATGTTAAATATACTAATCTGCACTTACATTCAGGAAATTCCATTAATTTGAGAAGTAACAATAACGTGCAATATAACATGTCATTAGTATGAACTTCTTTGTTCTTTGTTGGATTTGTGGCTCATATGCTTTAGAATACTAGACACCAAACGCAGAAGCAACAGGTCAACACCCACCTACTAGCAGCCCCAAGGAATGAGGGTTGGCGGAGGGGGTTATCTTTTGTGAGCAAGAAGCTTATATCTACTTATCTTATCTATGACTAGATCTATTAGTTAATATATTTTCCTATATGATTGGGGTATAAACCGTAGCATGGAACAAAAAAGAGTGCTCTTAATATATATATGTACAGTACTCAATTCTTCACATGAATGGTTTTCACAAAGAAATATGTGGAGATCAGCATGTCAAAATTTAAAAATTTTTGCTTTCTCCTTTATTGTTATGCGTGGTTTTGCATGGTTTGCATGCTTGAATCCCACCCCTGCATGTCCATCAATTCCTCGGTGATAAGGTTGTCAAATTTTGATAATTTTCTCTTTCTCTCATTTCATTGTTAAAAGAGGATTTGCATGGATTGCATGCTTGAATACCCACCCAACATTTCTTCAAGAGCTATAATTTAAAGCAAATCCACCAAAAAAAAAAAACATTAGGGACAATTACTTGAAAGATTTGATGAAGTACAAAGAGAATAAGGAGGACCTACATATGATATTTATTGATTTAGAGAAAGCATATGATAAAGTTCCAAGAGAATTGCATTGGAGAGTTCTAGAAAAGAAAGGGGTTAATAATGCTTATATTCAAAACATTAAGGATATGTATGCAGGAGCTATTACTTGTGTTCAAACACAAGTTTGTTTGACCAAGTATATTTCTATTTCAATTGGATTACATCAAGGATCAGCTTAAGCCATATCTTTTTGCTTTGGTCATGGATGTTCCTACTAGACATTTGCAAGAGCATGTGCCTTGGTTTATGCTTTTTGTTGATGATATTTTTCTTGTTGATAAGACTAGAGAGGGAGTTGAAGGGAAACTTGAATTATGGAGGTCAACTTTAGAGTCTAATGGTTTTCATTTGAGTAGATCTAAACCCGAATACATGGGGTGTAATTTTAGTAGTAATAGATTAGCTCATTATGAGCTAACATTTTAGTTCATTTATTATCTTTTAATTATTGTCTTTTATGATTTTTATGTTTGTTTTAAAGTTTGTCTCTTGGAATTCTAAACCGGCCTTTGGAATTCCAAGATTTCTTTTTCCCATGGTGGCTCCTTGTATTCCACCATGGCTTTATTTGTTTGCCTCTTGGGATCTCACGGCTGGGCTCCTTCTTCCGTGACCGTCCCTCGTTTCCCGTGGCCGTGGCTCTCGGT